TAATCATTTGAAAAATTGGGTTTGTTACTTCAGAGGTGAGTGAGGGGCTTGTGTGTTTGAATGTTTATGTTAGGCCCAGCAGGTGGCCGAAAACATACTAAGTAACCAATAATCAAATCGTTTATTTATGTATTTACACAATTTGTTACAGTTATTGTTGGTTTTTGACTGTATTTAATTTTAAAATTTCCTTTCGTCATAAATAGCTTTAACTTAAAGTTTAAAAAAGAGAGAATACATAGATTTGCAATAGACTTCAAATGGCCGTGATGAGGCACTTTTTGTATCGAAGATTATTACCCGCTCGCCGAGAGCAGGGATATATGTATGTGCTGCTAGGTAAACGATGGATTTTTTTTTTATATCGTTGTCAACCAACCTTGACTTTTTACAAACTTTTTATCAAGTTTAAAACTATTTTTAATTTGAAAACAAAAATATTTTTTAACTTCATTAACAGCAGAGCTGGGTAAATGCAATTACATTACAATTACAATTACATTGCTCAGTAATTGCAATTAGGAATCAATTCCTTCAGTTCATAGCAAAGGAATTGATTGCTTTTTCAATTCTGTAGAAGTAATTTCAAATGCAAGGAATTTCATATTGAATTTGGAATTAATTACATGCTGGTAAAAAGGTAGTATTTTTAAAAAGTAATTGAAAATGTAATCTGTTTCCTGGTAATTTCAGTACCTGGAATCGCAAGATTTTATTTTTTTTTTTCAATTACATAGAGGAATTGGAAAAACCCAATTACATTACTAGCACGTAATTAATTCCTTGTAATGGAATTTGAAAACTAAAAAATACTTTTTAAATTACTTCTAAGTAATTGAAAAAGTAATCAATTCCTTTGCTGTGGACTGAAGGAATTGAATACTAATTACAATATCTTGTAATTTGTAATTGAGAGTAATACAATTCCTAAGGGAATCATTACGGCCCAGCTCTGTTTAACAGGTTCTATGTAAGGTACTCGTATGGATTAGTTTTGTATTTTGTAAAACAAAGAGCAATCGAATATTTTTAACAAATCTACAGCTGGACGTAATAGTTTAGAAAACTTGTTGCTCGCCTACACGTTCTCCAGCTCAATCCATCTACATACATACATACAATACATACACATGTACATACATAACATTTAAGATATTCAAAAGCGTTTTGGCCATATTTGCACATTGCGTTGATTTCGCAAAGCAGCGACTTTAAAACACACATACATATGTACATACTCACTTACACCTACAAACTATATTAAGCGGTTACTCTATTAGAGTGAGTACAATTCGATTTCGATCAATTGCCTTCATCGACAACCGTGCATATACATACATACATATGTATGTAAATACCCTGCAGGGAAAGCTTCAAGTTGTGAGACAATTTTTTCCCGACTTCAAAAAAAGGAGAAGGTTATCATTTCGTCGGTATATATTTTTTTTATGTATGTTGCAGCATAACTTTGGACCACGTCAACCGATGTCGATAATTTTTTTTTTATCGGAAAGGTAGTGTCTCCGTGGTGCTACAAATTTGGTTTAGATCCGATCATTGCAAATTGGAAATTGGAAATTGGTTTAGATTTTTCGAATTAAATCAAAGCGGATTCCAAATTTGATGTCCGAATTTCGATTGGCTTCACATTCTTCCTTTCTTCTTCGAAATATGATCTGTCAAATTTTGGCTTTTTTCGTGATTCTGACTAAATAATCATGTACTTCCTCAAATTAGTATTGTCGTAGAGACTTAATTGTTGACTCTCACAAAATAAACCACCTCGTCATAAATAAAAAATATTTTAAAAATAATGTACATACAGTGCCGAACAGAAGTATTGGCACAGTGAATTTTTCGCAATATATGCTAAGTTTTTTATTCTAATTTATTTTCGATAATTTTTTATAAAAATATAGTTCATTTTACACCAGAAAATGTAATAATAAAATCTCAAAACTTTGTGCAAAACTCAGGAAAATTCATTAAATTTGCACACTAATTTGCAACTTTTTATTCCGATTTTAGAAAAATTCTAAGTATGCAGTTTCATAGCCCATTCAAATTTAGTATAACAAAGTGTAAATTTGAAGTCGCTAGAAAATCGCATTGATTTTTGGTAATTTTTTTTTACGCAAGTTCTTCCATACAAAGTAATTCGACAATTATTTTTTGTATGGAGAAAATGAGCAACACCTTCCACTAAAAAAATTGCCAAAAATCAACGCGATTTTCCAGCAACTTTAAACTTGCACTTTGTTATACTAAATTTGAAAAGGCTATAAAACTGCATACTTTGAATTTTTTTAAAAAATCTGAATAAAAAGTTGCAAATTAGTGTGCAAATTTAAAGAATTTTCCTGAGTTTTGCACAAAGTTTTGAGATTTTATTATTACGTTTTCTGGTGTAAAATGAACTATATTTTTATAAAAAATTATCGAAAATAAATTAGAATAAAAAACTTAGCATATATGGCGAAAAATTCACTGTGCCAATACTTTTGTTCGTCACTGTATGTATGTATGCGCGCGTGGGCTTTCTGAAACGAAATGATTTAAGCCAATGCATACATTTTCTAAGCATTGAGAACGCAATGAGCTGTAACATGGGCCTGGCAATTATCGTTAATCGCCTCAAAAAATGCACATGCATATGTATGTACGAATGTAAGTATGTACTATGAATGTATGTACATACCTATGTGGACATTTACTATTAAACTTAACCCTGCAAAAAATTGTGCGACTAATCTCTAAAGAGAGTATTCCGGGATTACTCTCAATCGGGTACAATTGGGTATTAATTAGTCCCAACTAGTCTCATTCGGGTACTAATGGAGGTTAATTAGTCTCGACTCATCCCTTATGGGTATAATTGGGGATCAATTAGTCCCCCGACTCATCTCTAATGGGTACTATTAACGATTTAATTATATGTACGCACTTAGTAAATGATATTTCATGTGCGGCGTTGGCACACAGAGAGAGTATTCGCCTAACAAACCTGAGCACCCCGGTTCGAATCTCAGCTGGCGCAAATTTTTATTTTTATTTTTTAAAAGTGAATAGTCGCTTTTTATACCCGTTCGGGTATAAAGGTGAACAATTAGTCTCTTCGTAGGACATGCTCGAACAAAAGCGAACAGTTCATTCCAAATAAAGAGATCAAATGTGGTATTAGTCGCATGTTCCTTTGCGATTGCTCCCGGAGTCATCGCGGATTAGTCGCATTTTTTGCAGGGAAAGATATGAAATACATCTACGAATCTATAAATTTAAGCTTTTCTTATATGTAAATCGCTTAGTCGCTTAGCACTTCCATGCGATCTGTCTAACATGCATACAAATCTACATATATGTATTTTCAGTATGCACGTACATGACTGTGTGTGTGCGTGTGTGAGCATTGACATAAAGTGTTTACTCAGCAAAATGCTCGCAAAAGCGGCCTTGACAATCAAATTGATTTTTTTAGAGACTTTAGCACTTTGTCGCCATTCAATGCCGACAACAGCGGCCGCCCTTTTATGGTAATTTGAAATAGGAAATCAACTCGAAAAGGAATTAATTTCAGGCATTATTTAGTGGGTGCTTAAGCGCAGCAACATGTGTGCCCCACTTACCCAACACTCGAAGATTGGGGGCCATCGCACAGCAGGAAAGTGTGATCATTCAGTTGCTCAGATACCATAAATATAGGTATTTATATATATGTAAATATATATATAGGTACATACATATGTACATACATTAGGGTGGTCGTTAAATGTAGGAAGCAAATTTGTATATACGATTTCATAAGCGTCAACCCCTACGTCGATGCTACTATAGCCGAGGATATCACATAAATTTTAGTCCCGATTGGAGACGATTAAAGCGTGTCGCATAGGGGGCAAATTTCAGATTACCCTATGAAGACGTCTTAACCGACTCCAATCTGAACCAAAATTTATATCTGATATCTTCGACTATGGTAGTATCGACTTTAGATGAAAAAAATAACAATTTTAATTTTTTGAGTCTCTAAAGAAGAATCTGAATCATGTCCCCCGTGCGCCATGCCTTAATCGTCTCCAGTCGGTAGCAAAATTTATATGTGATATCTGTGACCGTGGTATTACCGATTGAGGGGGCGCGACTGAAAAATATCGCTCATTTGATTTTTTTGAGGACCACCCTAATGTATACACAAATATGCATACACATCGACAAATTCTACGAATTCCATAAATTAACATAATGGTTTATTTAAACTCTCATACAATTTTAATTTGACGTTTATGGTGGATCTGAATGAGGAAAAATCTAAATTTGGCAATTTGCATTGATATTTTATATGTATGTATGTGCGCACGTGACGCCAGCTTAATTACTACTTAAAAATACTTAATTATTCGTATCTTTTGGAAATGTGTTTTCAAAAACACTCCCAAAATACAGATTTTCCCAACCCAACGGAAACTAATTTTTGTCAGTCATAATTTATTTTAAATCAGTAAAACCAATTGTGTCTTAATTTCCCTGTATTTCTTTACGTAAATAACAATCCTTCATCTCGTTTGTCGCTCGTATGCTGAAAGAATGACATAACTAAAGACCCAAATACCTATATGAGTTGATCAAACTTTGATAGCGTTTTGCCACAAAATTAAAATTTTGAATTATTCCCTATTATTAATCGATCGATATAAATATGTACATATAAATATATACATATCTACACACATACATATTTTTTAATATTTTTTTTAGGTCACTTCACACCTCTTGTGCTTTAAATACCGGTTACCTGTAACCAAATGTATCTGTAAATCATACTATCGTCATAAATTATTTAAAAAAAAAAAACCATTTAGGCTTTGGCTTATGAGATTTAACGAATAGCCAGATACAAGCAACCGGCCATTTAAGCCATTTAAGCACAAGAGATTGTGAAAAGTAACTTATGCCACTTTCAAAATAAGCAGCTCATATATGTATGTATGTATACATTATCTTACCTCAGCGCCAAAACCTCAACACCACGCATTCTTTTAATTATGGAGACGTCGCTGAGATCACTTCCCCTGCAAATAGAAAACAAAACAATCACCGAAGTGAACAATTAAAACTTGTTTATTTTTTCGTTTTAAAATTTATCTTTAAGCCATTAAGTCAGCTTGCATAAATACATATCGTCAGCTTAGAACGAAAAGTTTCCAAGTCCACTTTTTCTGAAAAATTATATTTGTGGAATTCAATTCGAAGGCAGTTATTTAAGATTGGAATACGCGAAATTTTGTAATACAGTTTTCACAAAATACGTGCTTGCAGAAAATCAGTTTGGGTTTTGATTTGAAGGGTAAAATTTAAAAAAAAAAAACTCAACTTAGTAACTTTTCACTTTAAGCTAACGATATGTACATGCAAGTAGATGGGTTCAAACGACTTTATATCTGTCACGTCCGGAATCTCATTTTAATTTAAAATAAAACCAACAACGAATTGATTCTCATTAGATATGAATTGGTTGTAATGGTCCTTAATTTGAATTTATTCAAAAAATGTTTAAGAAAGGAGAACCTCGCAGGATTCGCAGAGTTTTGCTTAAGTATTTTTACATTTGCTCTAAAGCCACTTCTGTTTTTGTCACGTCCGATATGACCTCCTATTCATCGATTTTCCCGACACCAGTGTTTCAGGCGCACCTAATTTTTTTGTCAACCAAAGGACGATATAAAAGCCACACAACGGCAAATTTTTTTTTATAAGTGACTTCCGTTTTCATATGATTTATTTAACTCTATTTAAAGGCGCACGAATGTCTCGTCCGACATCATGGAAACACCCCATGAACCAAAAAGACAAGATCACGCGGGCAGGAGACTAGCCCGTTAGAATCGCATTTAGGAAAAAAGTTGAACGATTTTGACATTAGCCGTTTATTTACATTTCTTCGTTGTTTACAATTTGATGGTGGCTTTTTACTGCAATTTTCTTCATTTTCGCTTGTGACAACGTGTGTACACATAAGATAAAGAATAATTTAACACAACGGCACGATTTATAGAAGAATTTGCATAATAAAAATGATTTTTCATGCGTTCAACAATTTCGCGGTTTTCTCCGTTCTCTTCGTTGTTTACTTCTTACAACAAAGATGGCGTCGAGATTTCGGCAGCTAGAAAATAACTTTTTTCGTTCTTTCCTTCCCGCGTGATCTTGTGTCTTTCGTTCATGGAAACACCCATATGTAACTAGTAGGGCATTCACCCCCGGAATCCAGAATTATTTTCTATGTAAAATTTCAAATATAGATAATTATTTAGGTACAAAAATGCATACATATGTAATTATTTAGACCTCTTTTTAAAGACCAAGTTTAACCTTTTATGTTGTATTATATGTGTAAGTTAAAATTATAGCACGATTCATTTTGTTCTACCTAGTTGCCATCAAGCGAAAACAAGAAGCGAAACTCGAAGACGGCGAAACGACGCAAGCGCATAGCTGCACATAAAAAAAATCCACATTTTTCAGCTTCGGTCGCAACGAGCGTTGCATTCTTACGAGGACTTGAAGACAAACCTGTTTTATAGACACATACCTAGTATACATACACACTTTCATACATAGATATGTATGTACATATGTGAATGAAACTAATTTATCTGTATGTAACCATGGTATGCCTTTCCCAGTGCCCATTTTTAGTAAGTACTACATATCTATTCATGTACATACATGCATACATATTCATGTATGGGTTAAGCGAGTGTGTCACGCTTGGAAAAACGGCAATGGGTTAAGTGGAAAGCGCTTGTTAGCTGATGCGAACGCTCTACATTTATTCCAAAGCTTAAAGATGGGAAAATTACTTGAACCAGAAACTACATAAATACATACATATGTATGTACATGTATACATGCATACCCACCATGCAAAACATGAGAAATAGGCAACAATCGTCAATGGCAACAAATTGGCGACTCACCGATTTATTGCTGTGGTGACAAATCGGCAACATCACTTCGATCATGTCAATTTTGAATAAAAAAGTTCTCAAAAATTCCGAAACTTATGAATATGGCGTCAATAGTATTGGCCAAAAGCATCTAAATTATGCCCAAGGACAAGATTGAAAAAATAGGAAGTCGCACAGCGAGAAAATGAATTAATTCCGATTGTAAGTTGCAATTTGGTACAAAAAAATAAATGAAGTATTAAAAAGAATAAAATTATTCCAAAAATCGCCTGAAGCGATAAGAAAAGGACTCATTCAGGTAATAAGAAAACGACTCGCCCAGGCGAGTTGCCTTCGGCGGACGTTTTAGAGCGACCGGTAATAGGAAATCGATTCGATGGCAATATTACCGGCAATAAATTTGTTTCCGAGGGCGACACGTTTTCTTATTGCTGGCAACACAAATTGTTTGGTGGGTATGTACATATCGATGTATATATGTACACACATACTATGTACAAACATATGTACTGTACAAGTCCAAGAAGTCCAGCAAAGCTAGCACTTTCAAAGTAGAGCTTCATTGCAGATGCGTTTAAAACTTAGTATACGAAATAGAAACTATTTAGTTACATACAAAAGTTACACTATGACATCTATAATTGTTACTCTAATGCGGTGTTTACAGGAGCCGATTTTACGGGCAAATTTTAGTTGAAACCAACAATCACCTGGTGTGAACGAACGGCCTTTCAACTAATCGCCTCCAAAATTGCCGCATGTAAACAGCGTATAATTCTTCAGTGATATGTATGTATGTAGTTCCAACCATTATTTCGTTAGGATTTTTGTGAAATGTTGGCGAGATGTACATATGTGCAATGAATTTAATAAAAATGAATTTTAATAAAAATTCTTGTTTTGTATTGGTAATAAACTACGTATGAAAAAGCATCTGTGAAGTGCAGAATTAAAGCGCATTTGAACCGCCAAACAAATATCTATTTAAAGCAGCGATGAGCAGAGAGAGCTTTTACTCTGCACGCGCCAATACAAAATGTAAAGGAAGCTTAAAAGAGCTTTGCCCGCGGGCAAGACAGTGCCCCATCAGTGATTTAAAGTAAACAAACCCCCCGTTGCATACGCTTTTCTATATGTAGTTCGTCACCTTAGGTATATGTATGTATGTAGATTTCTAATGAAATTTTTTTTTTTATTGTTTGCGAGTTATTACATTTTCTCTTACAATTTTGGATTTACGTAGCACTGAACAGCGATGGTTAAAAGAAAACAGAAAATATAATTTTTTAGAAAACGTTTAAAGTTTTCACTCTTAGCAAGTGATATGTAGTCTTAAAAAGTAAAATAAATTAAAAAGTTTTTAAAACGTTTCACATTTCGTTCTTTTTGAACTGTTACTAGGGACTGGTTCGTTTTTCCCTATAAAGTTCTATTGCGGAGTTAGAAACTTGGTTTACTAGTTTGGCGTTTTCCTGCAGGGTACGCTATACATTAGTATGCAGTAACTTCTGTTTAAATTCCACTAAGAAATGACTTGCATAAATATTTATTTACTGCATACATATGTACATATGTAATGTGTTTATTTACTAGTAAATTGCATGTATAAGAGCTGGGAAAATTGTATGTTCGTATGCCACGCAACGCGACAACAAGCAACAAACATATAAAGATCCATCTCAACAAAAAAAAAACACAAAAAAATAACACAAAAATTAGATTTCCACCTTGAAACTCATTCGTGCTAAGGAGAAAGTTCGAAGACAAAAGCCAATGTAAGCATGTATGTGCATATGTATATGTACATATGTATGAAAATATGTGCCACAAATGCACTCTGACCTAGGGCTACCAGTTAAACTCTGCCGTCAACTGTTAATGACTTCTTTTTGAATTATAATCTACATAAATATGTATGTATATATTTAATACAAGTAATTTTTAAGCAAAAACCAAAACCGATTTCTAATATAAAAACTTAGAAATACCGTTAATTTCTTCAGGATTCCATGATCGAATCTAAACCATTATTAATTATTACGAGACACCCTCTGAGGCACCACCTTTCATCTAAAAAAATAACTATAGAAATCGGTTAACGTGGTCCAAAGTTATGCGGTAAAATACATAAAAAAAAAAACAAATACAGTGATACCCGCTTAAGTACCCCTCCGCTTAAGTAACCAACATTTTTGGGCAATGTGAATTTTCGAATGTAATCTGAAGAAAAAAATTTGATCTGACGAAGTTAACAAAAAGATGCAACCACATCAATAATTATGTTCGCTTAAGTACCCGCATCGAGGCATCGGGGTACTTAAGCGGGTTCTTTTAAGTACCCAACCTGCCTAAGTACCTCCAAAAAGCTGACATTTTTCGTGAGGTACTTAAAGCGGGTTTTACTGTAAACAAATGTTCGGGCGAAACTGAATTTTCTATACCCGGCGCAGGTATCAAATATCGTCGTTTCAACTTTCTCTAAACTACCTAAAAATGTGTAACAGTCTTATTTATTGTTAATAGATTGTTGCAAGTAAATATTGACTTGGAGTAAATGAGCGTACTCAGTTATTGAAATATCGAAGTTTTCGTATATCGTAAATTTACCGTTGTACGGGAAAAGGGTGTAATTTTTGTCGGATTTGAATAATTTTCAACGAATTTGGTAGAATTTGATAAATCGCATATCGATATATACATTTGTGATCATAAGTGGGCGGCGCCACGCCCAAACTCCAAAAATTCTAATTTTAAATTTATGCCAAGTGTTTATAGCGACAGTCGCTTTTGAGTCAATTAGCTTCAGTAGTTACTGATTTATCGCAATTTTCGTTTTTCAGTAAATTACCGTTATATTGGAGGTGGGCGTGGTTATTGCCCGATTTCTAAGACTAGATGGACCCTAAGAAAGGCTCGTATTGAGTTTGGTAAGGATTGGTGAAGCGGCTACTGAGATACAGTATTTCATCATAAGTGGGCGGGGTTACGCCCATTTTCCAAAAAATGCATAATAATATTTTTTTTGCACTAAAATTCTACTTCGCATACTAATTTTCGACAATTTCGACTCAATATTTACTGAAATATCGCAGTTTTTGCATTTTTCGAAATTACCGTTATATGAGAGGGGGGCGCGATTACAGTCCGATTTCACCCACTTTCAATAGCAACCTACCTTGGATAAAGGGCAACCTACATACCAAATTTCGTTGAGATATCTCAATTTTAGTCGAGTTAACGTGTACACGGACAGACGGACGGATGTATGTGGGTTATTCTCACAAGATTCGAATTTTTTTGTGAAACAATTTTTTTTACTTAAATCGTGAGCACATATATGAAATGTTTGGTATACGTTCCTTCAGCGAACCATACGTTCCTAACGGTTTTACGCGTTTTTTTTGGAAGTGGAAAGTGGGCGTAATTTTAGTCCGATTTCGAAAATGTTCAATATATACATAGCTTTTTTATGCCAAGGTCAATAATTGTACTAAATGTGACGCTTTTATGAGCCTTAAAAACAAATATTCTTTATAATTCTCATTATTAGTAAACTTTTACTTGTAGGTGAACTTTGTTTCTTTTGTTCAACTCAGAATTTATGCCACTAAAAGAGTCCAAAATGAGTCAGTCTGGTTGATTGGTTTCAAAATCAATTTTTCTAACAAAAAAAATACTCATTTTAGACTCATAAATTCTGAGCACTCAGAAATTGTTTAAAGAGATCTTTTTACAGACATTTTTTCAGTCTACATATATATACATACACATGTACATACATATATCACTAACTTAGAGTGAAAAGTTGTTAGGTCCCATTTTAAAAATGATAACCAATTTCTTCAAGTATTTCGTAAAACTTTGAATACAACATTTTGGCTGTTTAAAGTAAAGCAAAACTCCATATGAATCTTCGATCTTTATTAAAAGATGTCGTAGGTACTATTTTTGGCTTTATCGGATTTTCGGTGCTTCTTTTGGACTTAGCACATTTAACTTTCATTGAATATAAACGAGAATAAATAAGAGAAGTAGCTTTATCCTTTTCGACTTAACAACCTTTTCACTCTTAGATAGCTATATGTACATATTTATATCCATACTCTAGGGTGGCACCCTTTTCTTTTGTTCTACGTACAAAATAAAGAATTCGACGAAAATTTTTAAATTTAAAAAAAAATTTTGTCACTAACAGGGCGGGAAAAAATTTGATTTTTTTTTTCTTAAATCGCAAAAACTGTACAAAATCTTGTCTTGAAATCTCATAAATTTTACAAATAATTGTAACTTATTCATATAAATTCATAAACTCGTCGAATTTTTGCGATTAAAAAAAAATATTTTTTATTTTTGAAATTTTCGTGGATGTCTTTACTTTGTACGTAGAAAAAAAAAGAGTTCACATAGAGTGCTACTATTATTTTGCGCACAGCTATACATGCATAGGCTGCACATACATATTTGTATTGATTTAGATTTTAGTTCGAGGTCAACGCCATTCGAAGGATTTGGCCAAGCGTAACTACTACACATTTTTGTTTGCGACCAATTTACATATTTACATGTATGTAGATACTCAATATTTCTATGTACATACGTGTTTATTTATGTATGTAAATATGTACTGCATTATACATACATATGTACATATGTATGTATATATAATGTATTCACTAGGGCGGGTGTCAACAGTGCAAAGTAATTAAATCCACCACAAACAGATATACATATCTATACATGTAGATATGTACATGCAACGACAAACACTGAAATGCAGTTGCAATTGCCGCTTCAGTGGACAATGGATAAAGCGCAACAGACCACAGCGCGGGCGTTCATAATAAAATGGGCAGCGTTGACATAAAGACTCTGCTGGACAGAAGGCAATGACACCGTCTGTTAGATGCCGCAAACCAGCGTACAATAGAGATACATACATACGTACAACCATAAGAACGTTGATAATAATGCAATTGAATCAGCAATCAAAGAAACAACAACAAACATTGTTTAATGTGCCCAAATAAGATTGCCTACAAGTTGTTTGATACATACAAATATACCCAGTAGAAAAAAGAAGAGGTAGAAAGCAATTACAGAGGGCCGTCTCTGGAATGTACAGGGCCTTACCATCTGCATGATTTCCTTAATTATTTTTTATATGAAACGGTCCCTATTGGAAGGCATTGCATTTCCGTTTACTGGAGAACAGCCCAAAGAAGGGCTTATTTTTTGTGCGTAACACTTCACAGATGCTTTTTCGGTTTATATGGGTAAAGAAAAACCAATAACTAAAATGAAAAATTATATGTTGGCTCAAACGAGATCCGTATCAATTACCAAGTTGCCTTGGTTTACAATATTTCTCGTAGCAGCTGGAATGTCATTCCAAATACGTATAGCGTTTACGAAGAACAGCCTTGTAGACATTACATAAATAAAAATTGGTACAATTAAATTTCCAGACCGGATAGATTTACTAAAAATGAGCTTGTCATAGAGATAAGAAGGTGGTTTGGTTGAAATGAGACGGAATAAGAAAAAATAACGGTTCTAAAATTTTCTGGCATTTGAAAATATCACACCCTAAGAGCTGAGATCTCCATGCCGATATGTGATCATATTTACGTAGCCCATAGACATACCACGTTATGTGATTGAATTTGCTTGGGAGGAAATGTAAACTGTTTACCCAAAACTTTACGGACATTTGAAAAAATACTGTCGTTTAGTTGGTACCTCGGTGCCTGCTGAGTGCCTTTTTTCAAAAACTTGTGCTACAGCCGCGATTGCCATCAAAACCCTCATCACCCGGTACCAAGCAAAGGGCTACCCTTATGCTTAAATAATAACTAATTATCGCCGCTAAAAATACTCGTTTTTTTATTTACTGCTAAGCAACAAGAGAATTAGAAATTTTTTATAGAAAAGTGTTTTTGTGAATACTGTAAAATGAATATTGTAAAAAAGTGCCATTAAAATTTCGATTAATCGATCATTTCTCAATAATTGCAATTATTTTTTTTGGCTTGTGATTAATCATATGATTAATTAATCGATAATTTTTTTTTTGCCAACCCTAATCGCAATGGAACCGAGCGGATGATGTGTAGTTTTGACGCCACTAACAAAAAAAGTTTTAGAACTAACTGAAGTATATTTTTTTCGCGTTATCTCAACAGCTGCTGTGGCCGAATGGATGCGTGTTCGACTGCCGTGTTCTTGGTCACAGGTTCAAAACCTGTGGCATGGAATTTAATTTTTTGTTATTCTATTTATGTATATATTAGATACGTCTATATTTATAGTTTCGTAAAACGACACGTGACACATTACTTTCGTATGACAACGCTGTAGAGAAATTCTTGCATCTTTTTGTGCGTAGGTTAAAGTGGCTATCCATTACTTTTTGCACTCCCAAATATTACCTTTTTCCAGTGGGTTCATATGTATGTAAATATGTGTATAAGTATACTTATATGTGCATGAGAAATTTAATGAAATGAAAAATTCATAACTATGTGTTATGTATGTATGTACTAGAGATGGGCATAACAAGTGATTTTCTACGTGACACGTCATGTCACGGTTGATGCAGAAATGTTCTAGGACCATCCAGATGAATTTCTACATCAAAATTAAAATTTTAAAAAATTTCGCTTCCATCTTTTTGACGGTCAGGGCTCGATATGTATGTATTTATATATGTACATATATATGTATGTGTATTTTCAACCAAAATCAAATCGTAAACTACTACTGTTTAAGCTATTTACCGTATTCACTTTTGACGAATTCAAAGATACAACAGATGAATCTGCAGAAACAGTTTTTGAAGTCATTAATTAATGCGGAAATACAGATTTAATTGACAAAATCAGAAAACAAAAGTTGTGACGGTGTTTTAAAATTTTGGGAGGAAGTTAAAGATTTTCCACCCCTTAGAAGGCTTTCAAGAAAAATTTTTAACATACCAGCTAGCTCAGCAACTATTGAAAGAGTTTTTTCTGTGTCAGGCACTAGGAGTCTAGGAGAAAGACTTACACGATTGGTGAAAACCTCGACAAAACAATATTTTTAAACAAAAACATTTTAAAATTACATTGAACATAGATCATTGATATAACCGATACTGTACATACATATCAGGGAGGCCAACTCGTGGGGAGTTGCCCCGATTTGCGGGGAATTTCAGTTTGCGTAGGGAATCGGGAAATGGACCGTTTTTTTGTGGCGAATTTCAGCTCGTTCAATTCTAGTATAACAAAGTTTCAAATGGCTAAAAATTACCATTGATTTTTTAGAATTTTCTTTGCATTTGCTTTCATATAGCGAATGAACATAATATAATTTTTATATAGAATAAAACAGTGCAACAACTTAGGAAAAAATCCTAAAACGGAAATTTGTAGCCATTTAAAACTTGCAATTTATTATTCTAGAATTGAGTGGGCTAAAAAACTGCATACTCAAAATATTTACAGAAACTCCAGTTAAAAAGCGCGAAATTTTTACGAAAGTTTGTTGAATTTTTTTCAAATATTGCACAAAGTCTGAAACTTGGATTTATACAGTTTTTGTTGAAGAATAAACTATATTTTTATAAAAAAAAATAACGCAAATTAAATAACAAAAAATAATAATAATTGGTGCGAATAAATATTTTCGACCACTGTATGTATGTAAATATTATCTACATACATAAATATTTTTTATTCTTTATTTGTTAGCTACCTTTGTAAAAGTTTGGTTTGGTTTATCAACACATAGATTAATTACGTTTAAAAATACAAAAAAGAAAGACCAGGAATATATCAAAATACATAATTTTTTGTATGTATATTTACTTACCAGCAGTTGAGTTTTTTGATGGACCCCAAATCGGATTGCTTTGAGCGGGCAATAACCATTTCCTCGGTGAGACGCGTCATTGTGTTTTGTTTTGACGGTAGCACAGCTCTTTTGATATTTAGTAATTTTCTTAAAATGTATTTATTTTCCTTTTAATTGTTAATATCTTTGTATGTATGTATGTACATATGTACATATATTTTCGTTTTTGTTGTTTACCGTCCTTTTTTATTGCTGCAACAAAATAAGCAAATAGAAAAACACTTCAATTCCACTTCATTCGTGTACCTACTGAAAATCCGTTTCGCAAGCGCTGGAGGCTAAGCCCAATTACACAAGCTAAATGCACAAAAACAACAAATGTAATGAAAAATGCCAACAGGTTTTTGCCGTAACTCTTTACTTTTTTGATTATCTTTTTTCTGATGGCAAACGCGTGCAGCGACGGCATTTCTTTACATACATATTTTCTGCACTCTTATGTATGTACATACATATGTATGTATGTATATACTACATATGTACATGTCCATATGGTGTACACATACACGCATCTGCAACTGTTGCAACAACTTATGCTCCCTTTCCCCATCGTCTGTGCTACTCTGACGTTTATTATTAGAAATGTATTTACTTTACTTTTTATTTTTGTAATAAATTAACTATCTAGGTACTTTGTTTATTTTTCTCAAAACCGAATTTCTACTGCAGCTTCCTCAAGCGAATTCATTATGACCACCTAAATACATACAACAATTTCAGCACAGTTAGCTACTTCCTTAGTTTTAGTTAATTGCTGTGATTGCTCAGCAAAAAAAAAAATACCGTTTTGAATGCAGTTAAAGATCTTTTCTCATAGCAAATAGGATTATTGATTTAAGCCTTCTGTATTTAAACAATTTTTATGGATGGTAAAGCTTTTCCTCCCATAGTAGACCCGCAAGTAGACGCCAAATTTATTTTCCTACAGGCTAATGTGTGTGTACATACATATGTACATATTTATGTCGGTACAAATTTAAGAATGCAGCAGCAGCATCTATGTAGTACCTACAATAGCAGAGCGTATCTGACAGGTGCCAATCATACCACACATGTTTGCCAACAACACGAAACCTTTTTAACTAATCAACGCCCACCGAAATCCGTTTTGATATTGAAACTATTTTCCACACAGTCTTAACTACGATATTTAATTTAAACAACGTCATCGATTTTTTCGCATTTCCCGGATCCGCCTTTCAATTTTTCTCTCCGTTTTCATTCAAAGGCATTGAGCACCATTCACCACTTTTCCACTATTTTACTTCATTTAAACAGCTTTTGCAAGTATGTATGTATGAGCAATTTTTGTATTATTTTAACTTCTTTTTTACGAATGTTTACGAGTTTTTCACAGTGAATTTTGGGAATTAATGAGAGTTGTTTTTTTGATGGGAAAGAATTTTTTACAATTATGTTTTTCACAAATTTTCTTCGATTCGCTTTTAACAGCAAGTGTCTTTGCTCACATCATCGCTAGAGAACATTAACGTCAACGTCGCTGTCGCTGTCGCTGTCGACGTCGACGTCGTATTAGCCATTCTCGTTGTTGTTGGCGTTTGCTTAGTCTCTCGTCCATCATTACCGTGTGCGGTTTTTCACTTCTTGGCTCGTGCTCAGAGGTAATTAGGTACTTACTCTTATTGTACACGCGTTCATGTATTTAATTTCAGTTAAGTATTTACAACTTTAGTTGCGTACTCGTACGTATGATTCTTTACTATATATGTATAGCAATTTACCGTCTTGGCTGTTGATACTCGTAGAGTGATGCGTTCGTAGTTTGCCTTAATGAGACAGACTTCAACGTAATACAAACTTTTGTGTATATGTATTTCCGTTTATTCCTATTGTTTTTTTTCGGCCACTCACATCGCTCGTTACTCGCTTCCGTAGTTGACCATACACGCGCCGCGTTTGTGTTGAGACTGGCAGCGCCAACTAACAGCTGCTGCTGTGTAAGCTAGGCGCTCCATCGGAATGTGTGCTCCACACGCTCGCGCGCGGTGGCTTTCGTTGGTGTTTATGTGAGCTTTTTTTTGGGGCGAATTCATCTTTTGTTTTGCTCCAGTGCGTCCATGAGTGCGGGGGAGGAAATGGGGGAGCCGGCGGCCGAATTGCCAGGCAAAGTTAAATGTGACAGATATAAAAAGCTGGCGATGGAAAAAAAATTTATGGTTAAAATGCTTAAACAATAATTCTAATGCCATTCGATTTTTAACGATTTTTTAGTATGATTACTTATTTCAGGAAAAAAATTTTAATTATTTTATTCACTCGTCTGTGTTTATACGAAAACTGTTAACTGTGCATGTTTTCTTATTAACTTCGAATAATCCCACTGGGAAAATAGGTAAGCGCCTTACGAGGTAATCCACATTTCTTTCAGCTTTTATTACAAAAAATGTCAAAAGGCACAAAATAAACAGCTCCCTCCCTTTCAAAAACACTCCAATTTATAACCGACTTCAAAAAAGGAGGAGATTATCAATTCGTCGGAATATTTTTTTTATATTTATTAATGTTGCCGCGTAACTTTGGACCGTTAACTGTTTTCTATACCGCCTGCCAAAAAAAAAAAAATATTAAAAATCAACGCGAATCCTTAGCCACTTCAAATTTGTATACTAAAATTTAATGGGCTATGAAAAAAATCGTAGTCGTATCATTTATAACAAATCATATGTAATAATCTTAAAATTTTAACTTATATACATATGTAACTTAACTTATATATTCTGTTCTCTATCTCACTACATTTTTTTTAAACGAATCAAATTTTTACCTTTTATCAAAACCGTAATTATTTTTCATTAATAATCTTTACTGCAATTTAAGGAAAAATTATTTTTTTTCTGTCAGTTTCCATATTAAATTAAAATAAAAAATAAAAATCATTTTTCATTGTTTTCGTGAAACTGGCTATTCGAAATTTTTGTGGTAGAAATCATAACAAATTTGCTTTTTGTGTTTTGTTTTGTTTTAAGAGATTTATTAAAATTGATTTAAAAGTTTTTTTTAAGAAGATACAGAGTTTTAGGAGAACGAATACATTTTCCAATTTCCAATGCTGATTTTCTAGTGAACCTCAATTGGAGGAGCAACCCGCTCTCAAACAAAAGGTCACATTTGTGGTATGCAAAATAATCTGAGTTACCCACTTGAGAAACGCATGGATAACAATTTGAATTTGAACTTTATTAAACTTTTTATCAAACCATGGAAGAAATGAGGGTCAAAAATTTTGCATAGATTAGGAAAAAATTGGAAAAAAATTTGCTTTGACCATTTTGGGAAGCCAAATAAATAAAATAAAAAATAAAGTTTATCTGGCTGAAAATGGCAAACCTCCGAGTGTATTTCTGCCATGAAAAACAAGTGTTCATAGAAATACCACCGCATTTCACAGTCGGCGTAAAACTGTAGATCCCTCTCCTTTGTGCGACAACATCAAGGCACACGCCACAATTCGGATCGCCAATCTATTATTATTATTATTAAATGCGTAATTTTCACCAAGATCTGCTGAACTGAGAGCCCCGATCGCAAATTCGTAAATGCTTAGATCCTTATTTTCAATGTATACCTACTTGACCAAAAAAAATATTTTCTAATCGAAAATTTATTTAAGATTTTTGCATAAGTTCCAAAAACTTGCATTCAATTACACAGTGAAACTCGGTAAAGCCTAAAACAAATCATATTACCTAACATCAATGCGGCCTGGTCGGCCAAGCGACGATGAAAGTTGTTTGTAACCTAGGAAACTTCATTAACATGAATGCAAGCGTCAAAGGCTTCGCAGTCCTGTGGCCAAAGGAATAAAAATAAACAATAACAACCAGCCTTAAAGAAAGTACTTTCTCAAAAAAAAAAAAAATTGCTTCAAGTGTCTTCATCAGTTTTAATAAATATTGTTTTAAAGAAAAACACAAAAAATATTTCAATTTTATTAACTGCAATACGTTGTTTATATTTTGCTAGTTGATTCCAATTTATCATCGTATATTAGTAAAAACAAAATTGTGTATCACAACAGCCGACGGACGTATACGTAACCTAAATGGTCTCACCGAGAAAGTCAACATCTGCATTGAGCCTCATTCCAGAGGAACGTGGCAAACTGCTGCCGTAAGTCCCTTCGCTTGGCATTGTAATTACATATTTTAGTGGTACACACATATACAGATTTGCTTTTTCTATACAGGGTGTCCACAAAGAGCTGTGAGAGCCTTTACTCGAATACGTCCAGTTCGAAAAGTTCAATTAATAACTTATATCGGCGCAAGCAAAACGCCGGCAATGTCGGCGGTGCAGGTGGAAACATGGGCCGCCACTCTACACTGATACCCGCCACAACAGAAGTGCGCCAACGCGTATTATCCGCTCGCCGTCTACGCATGAAAACATTTCAAAATCAGTTGGCCGATGCACAGCAAACAATTGCGGTATAATATTTAGCCATTCATACATACATATATAAACGGTATCGTTTGTAGGATCTCGCACATGAAAATCGTATCCTACGCACGTTACATAAGCGCCAGGACTCGGCCTTGGCCAAATATGAATCAACAAATGCCGAATTGCCGAAACTTTTACACTCCCACGCCGAAGAGTTGCGCGTGTGGCAGGCAAAGTACCGCCACCTACAGCAGATCAACAAGGAGCTCGAGCATAAACTCAAAGCAAAAGAGTCTATAATACTCACGCTCAGCGATCAAAACAAATACTATAGTCAATTGAATAAGGATAGGTGAGTGCGCTTGTCAGGATATACATATGTATGTACATATAGGAACTGATCAAGCAACACTGGGGCTTTAAATTGAGATATCCCGCGATCATAAATTTTACTTCTTAAACTTTCGATATACTACTTCTATATATATGGTCTCACTTAAGGTCGTTTTTTGTTTTGGGGCAACCCAGTCTTTGAGAAAAGCTCGGAAAATGTGAAGATGCTGGCGGAAACTCAAAGACAACATATTGTTGACAGACGAAAACATATTGGGCCTTATGCATAAAAAGTGAGCTTAAGCTCAGACTCAACTTTTACACTAATGTAGTGAGCTTGAGCTAAAGAATTTTTACTGAAAATCGAGTCGGAGCTTAAGCTCAATTTTTAGGGAAGGGGCCCAATATGTCGTAAACTCTCCAGCTATCTGAAATCCCGACGCTTTCTCACTTTACTTCTGACAGTTCTCCGGCACGTCTTCCCAAAGAAAGTGTGTAGCCGTAATTTGTATCAATCTGACCCATTCTGTTGACGCTTTAAGACTTGTCAGAAATCCGCCTAATACAGCGACTTTCATGCGCATTACACAGCCTGACCTTTTAATTTGAGGTGATATCGTCTGCTGTTCTTTGAATCAAGTTCGGTGGAAAATATTTGTTATCGTATTTATTTACTTTTTCCCTGAGCGCCGCCGACAATATCAACTATCAAAGAGTTATAGTGCCGATTGTACCACACTGTAGATCCAGCAGATCTCAATTGAGTCCTTATCGGCATAGGTTCTTTTGCTTTTTCTTCAGCGCATCTATGCTAATTAATTTATCTTAAAAATCTTTGAAGGAACCTTGAAGAAAGACAGCGTTTGTCCGAGAAATTGGAAAAGCTTGAAACTCGTTTACAGGAGAAGGATAACGACATGAAGCTACTGGCACGTCGAGTTCAAATCGAGACCAAAAATTTCAAACAACAATTACTTACCGAACAAAAGCGAACAAAGGATGCTTTGATGAAGCTGGAAAAGGCTCGATTGGAGCTATCGGGATATCGAAAACTAGACGAATTAGGTGTAAGTTTGGAGTTGGCATTTGATTACTGCGCTTTCATTATATTCATATTTGTAGGATAAGTTTTCCACACTCAGCGTGGGACGACGTACAACGAACCCCACAGACGAATCAAAATTGGAAAAAGATTTAGAGCGGATTCTGGCAGATGAGGTATTAGATGAAGATGAGAAAGATCTAGATGCAGATTTCGATCCCGGAAGTCAACGTTCAGCCAAAAGTCCAAATAATTTGACAGCCGAAAGCTCTCCGGGCTATGGAAATCGCAAAATAGCTTCGTCTCTCACAGTGGGTAAGTCGCGAAAGCAGCGACAGGAAGGCGGCGGCGGCCTAAGACCTGTGACAAAGCAGCAACAGTTAGCCCGACAGCAGTTGCTACAAGGATACCAAAGGAAAACACAACAAAAGGATGATCCGACGCATGAACATCTCGCCGCCATAACAGATTACGAGGTTGAATATGAAAACGATCACAACGGCGAGTTCCCGGGAGCTAGCGATCGCCGCCAGAGCAATCGAAGCAGCCGTAAATATGATGACGGTGATGAAGAGCTTGGCGAGGTGAACAGAGATTATGAGGGAGAGGGTGAGGAGGTCAATGGTGATTCCAGCCGAAAAGCGGACGACGACGAAGTGGTATCACGTGGCACCTTTAACGCCGAGTATTTAGTAGAGGGAGAGGAAGAACAAGCACTAGAAAGCTTAAATGACGAGAACGGTGAAGATGATGATGATGAACGGGATGTTGTATGTATTGTAAAATTAATTCCAAATCAAAATCAAGGGGAAAATTTTCACCCAGTAACCAGTCATGTAGGCGCTGGGCTCATTTGAGCTATACAAGGTTCCAGGGATTAGTAACATCCAGACGGCCACAACTAGTGGACTTAATGAGGGGCGACCTTGCGTTAGGGTGTTGTTCCACAGAATGGGAGAAGGGTGTTAGTTAGTTTTATTCACAAGTAAAGTCTTTCAGTCTAATAAACTTTGAGTATAAATCAATCTAGAAGATTATAAATAATCACGTTAGATCGAACAATCTGAAGGATGCATTTCTGCATTTCATTTTTGTGCGAAGCTTTGTAGTGGAAAATGGTCTCGTGTGGAGCGTCAAAAAAATAAGCACTTTTATTTTTTTATGGTCAGTCTACTGTACACCATGATAGTACAAACTACGTACATATGTACATATTATAGAGAGGTCCTATCTCACATCCTCGCTGAAATGCAAACAAAGCGTAACTAACTAAATTTGTTATTGCATAAAACGATGTGGGGACTTAGAATTCGAATAAATGCATCATAATAAATCAAAAAGTGAATTTTGGATTTTTAGTCAGTTACGGCTTTGTAGGATAGGTCCTTTCTATATAAAAGTAGCGATATATGTAGTTACCTATGAACAGGTAGTCTGGGTCTCAATCACTACTCTAGCCATGGAGCATTGCTCTCATGTCCAACGACAACGCTGGAAATAATTCTCGAAATCTAGTCTCACCAGCTAACCATAGAGCAGGCGGGTCGAGCAGGGCGCAAAGTACAGTACAGTTTATTTTTTTTTTTCTAATACCCAAAATCGATACTACCATAGTCGAAGATATCACATATGAATTTTGGTCCCGACTGGAGTCGATCAAGACATCTTCATAGGGTAATCTAAATTTTTACCCCTGTGCGACACGCCTTAACCGTCTCCAATCGGGGCCAAAATTTATATGTGATATCTGCGACTAAAGGAGTATCGATTTTGGGTATTCGATGAAAAAAAGTTAATTTTAAATTTTTAAATCTCTACAGAGGAATCTGTACTTCGCCCCCTGTGCGACACGCCTTAACCAGAGACCCAAAATAATTATTATCCTAATATTTGAGATCAAAAACGTCGCCTTGTTTTAAGAGAAATTTTTTTCCTCTTTGTATAGTAATTATTTACGAGAAATATCTACATATCGTTTATTTCAAGACGAATATTATTTACGTCTTCTCATAATAATTATGTGTGACTTTTATTTTTTTTCGTTTCGTGGGACATTTATTTTAAGACGGAAATGATTTACGTATTTTCATAGTAATTATATGCGACTTTTATTTTTCTCGTCTCTCGACAGTGATTTACGTCCCACAAAGAGCTGCGAGTTGGATTACTGGAATTTAATTTGCTAACATCTTGCAACCCCTTTCAAAAAAACTAAAACCACGTAAAAGCAAGGCCCTTTATTTTGACACCACATTTTTGAAAATCGAACGAACGATACAGATTTGATGACATGAATGAAAAATCGTGGCATTAAATATTTAACGCGTCGAATCTCCGAACTCAATTAAGAAGTTTCATTCAATAAAACTGCCATATAATAATTTGGAGAAGGCGTAAGTCATTTCCGTCTTGAAATAAACGTCCCACGAGACGAAAAAAAATAAAAGTCCCACATAATTATTATGAGATGACGAAAATAATTTACATTTTAAAATAATCGTCCCGAGAGACGAAAGAAACTTTTCCATTGTTCACTAATAATTATAGAGCAATTGAGGGATTCACAACGGTGTCGTAAGTGTCGTATTGTTGTACGTCGTAAACTTGAAAAGCTTAAATAAATGTCTAGAGAACTTGAAACCATAACCAACAATTTTTAAACACTGCGAAAATTCATAATATCACTTTGACGGTACTTTGCGAACCCCCGTAATATATTTTTTAGGCGTTTAAAGTTTACGACATACAACAATACGACACTTACGACACCGTTGTGAATACCCCAAATATTTAATTTTATTTCTTATAATCGTTATGGTCTCTGGCCTTAACCGTCTCCAATCAGGACCAAAATTTATATGTGATATCTTCGACTATAGTAGCAACGACTAAGGGTTTGAGGCTTAGGAAACCTGACGTAAAAATTTGCTTTCTACATTTAAAGGCCTCCCTAGTATTTATGCATTCAGTAACTCACAGAAGTATTTGTTGTTGTCCTCCATAATAAATCTTTCTCGTTATTTTGTATTTAAAATATAGCTCATCTATAGGTACTAATGATATAAAGAGAAGTCCCTTTTTACAAGCTTTTATTTAACTCGCTCTGTATGAATGTATGTATGTATGTATGTAAGTATGTTTGTTAGGGGCAAATATTGCAATCAATTTTTTATCAACTTCCCGATGAGCTGGAGACTTGAAACTTCAAAGTCGGTTCAGAATCCGATGACAATGCAATACGAAAGTCAAGTTAATCCGATAGGTGGCGCAGGAGTCGATATATTTGAAAACCCGTAGTTTCAGTTCGATTTGGTTCATATTTAGGAAGTATATTAACTACACGAAAAAGAACAACTCTACTAAACAATTTTCCGATAGGTGGCGCAGAAGTCGCTATATTTGTAAACCAGTATTTATGAAAGCTTGCTTTAAACATATTCGTTTTTTACTATTAAGTTATTTTTGTAACAGGTAATCTCGCGAACGGCAGGTCCGATTTTCATTAAATTTAGTATATAAATAGCTTAACGACAGGTGGCGCTGGAGTCGAGTTTATACTAAAATCGCATGTATGACCTGATCTTGCTAATATTCCAAATATGTATTGGTAACACGAAGGGAAATATTTCGGCGAAAATTGCTCGCCAGGTGGCGCTGAAGTCGAGTTATACGGACATAACGCTTTCGTTAGGTTATTTAAGACGGCAATGGAGGATATGATTTCTAACGACCACAAAACCAAACGTGAATGGGAGTTGTGGTGAAAACCTCGCACCCAATGTTTCAATAAAAAAATAAATTTTGGGCGGCACGAAATTCGCAGGGTCTGCTAGTTCTATATATACATATATAACAAAACCTATACAAATCAATGTTGCAAACTTCCTACCAAATTCCCAAAAATTCTGCGAAAATGGCCATAAAATTGTAAACTTTTTTATCAGATTTTTTTAATTCTCTTCCATACAATCCATGAACAAAATTAATTTCAGCGAAAAAAAATGTCAAAAGTCAGTGGTAGGGCACATCGTACAGTTTCCTAAGTAAAACCATGGCCCGTAGTCATAGTCAAAATAAAGTCGACTTTAAAGTTAGTTGCAGCTTTTTGACATAATTTTCAATTGGATATCTGTCAAAAAAGCTGCAACTAACTTTAAAGTCGACTTTATTTTGACTATGACTACGGGCCAATGTCTTTTAGGTACCTACAGCCTGCCAGAAAAAACGGTAAGAAGAGTTACTTTACTTATGAAAATGTAAGATGGTAGGGCGGCGTACTTAAAAATATCCGATTAGAATATTTGAAATTTTGATGACCATTTTTTAAAATTCGCCGAGTTTTGTAGAAAGCTTGCAACATTGATTTGTACGGTTTTTGTTATAGAATGAGCTATGTTTCAAATATAAATTAACGAAAAAGATTTATAACGGAAGGCATTTTGAATATCGTAGCTTGATGAGCATTTTGATTTCATTGTGGTTGTTTCGTTCCTTACTATTTTACATGAAATTTGTTTTTAACGTGTTTATAATAACAATCTTTATATTAACTTTTGATTTGTCATTCTAATTGTTTTGCATATGACATTAACAGGTCTGCCATACCGCCAAGAAAACTTCACACATGAAGGAAGAGATTTCCAGCATACGCAAACAAATCTCCCATGACTATAAAGAGCGAGAGGCCTTTCTGGACACGTTTTGCCGGCAGGCCAATAGTGGAGTTCTATTAGATGAAACCCCAAAAAAGCGAAGTAGCATCACCTTGGGTCAGAATCTGCCTAGCAATCGTAAAAACAAATTGCTTGCTGCGCTCAAAGCCATCGACGATAACAAGAGTCAGGACTAAATAGCTAGTTTATATCTATGTCTGTGATTTTTAATCACAAACTTTTGTTGCTGCTTTTATATGTACATACAGGCTGCGTTTCTTTATACATTCCAGATAATCCTATTTCACAGCCAGAATAAACAGCATCATCAGCAACATTCTAAAGAACAAGTAAACAAAAAAGTTTTTTTCAAAACGTTCAGAATGAATAAAGAAACCCAGCCACAATGCAAATATACTATGAATATTTAAATAAAACTTGTTTGCTTTTATTTTTTCTAATCAAAGTACTTACAAAAGCCTATACATACTAATGTAATCAATGGTCACACAATTTTTTAGGTATCCTGCTTTTTACGCATTTTACTTATAGCACGGGAGATTTTCTTTCGCACCTCCTTTTGACGTTTCATCTTTCTCATTTCCTCAATACGCTTTTCCGCACGAAACTGCTTCAAACGGATCTTGGTTTCCATTTTATCACGTTTTCTCTTGTCTTTGTAGTTGGTCTCAATCATATTCATCATCTTTGCAACCTTTTGTTCATGAGGCGAGCGTATCACAGCTATGCGCTCCAACTCCTGAGTCTTTTTGTCTGTTAGTGGTCCTAGTTTCGGCTTATCCTTGTATGGCAAAGCTCGCTGTAAAGCTTTGGGTATCGTAAGTGGTTTGAATATTTTCGGTTCTCGCTTTATTTCTATGTATTGGCTATCTGGTTGCGCTTGATTATGAATATTGCGTTCGCGCTTCAGCTGACCCAAGGTCTTCATGCCTTGCCACTGCGACTTCTGGTCTGGAGGCAGCAAAAGCGAGGTGATGGGTGTATAGAATCGCGACACATCCACTCGGAACCACGTTCTGCAGAAGACAATATCGCTCAAGAGAATCTTGTCTTCGAACGTTGCACGGAATGAACCCTCTGGTTCGTGGTGTGCCTTCTTGATTTGACCGCGTATTCCAGAAACAGTTTTTATCTTAGCTCCTTCGAATTTCGCCACTTCAAGACCAGTATTGAACATTCCTTTTATGAAGGCCGTTTTCTTATATATTTTAAATGGTTGGCCCACCAACTTTAACTTTTTCATGATTTGCGCTGATTTATCCATTTCACTGACACTACCTGTGGCGGCAATTCGAAAGCCGAGTCTCTTCATTTCTTCTAGATCGTGGCGTACTGTTTGTAAAGCTAAGAAACCAGTATTTTGTGGAGTGATTGGGCCCCAGAAAGTCATACTACATGTTACATGATTTGGTGTATATTTAAGATACCTATGTCGGAAGTTATCTTCTATTTTCGCATATATTGGTACGGTTTGAAAACGACGCCAGCCCAAAGAAATTATAAGTGGATCGCCAGTTTTCAAAATCTTTTTGTACCATCGATGTTTTTTTACTTTGCAGTTGACATAGCCAATATTTTCTTCGGTCATATTCAACCCACCAACCAGTACTGGGTAACTCGGATCAAAGTTTTCTATGAACTCGGCAGGTATAGCTCGAAAGCCTAAAACAATATGTAAAATTCAATTAGAAAGAACATTAATTAGGCATAAAATATATGATCCGTAGTCATAAGTCATGTTTATCCAATTTCAGAAATAAATGAGTCGTTTTATAGATAAAACGTATTTTATGTAAACTGTGACAGAGTTAGTGTTTATCTTAAANCCAGTATTGAACATTCCTTTTATGAAGGCCGTTTTCTTATATATTTTAAATGGTTGGCCCACCAACTTTAACTTTTTCATGATTTGCGCTGATTTATCCATTTCACTGACACTACCTGTGGCGGCAATTCGAAAGCCGAGTCTCTTCATTTCTTCTAGATCGTGGCGTACTGTTTGTAAAGCTAAGAAACCAGTATTTTGTGGAGTGATTGGGCCCCAGAAAGTCATACTACATGTTACATGATTTGGTGTATATTTAAGATACCTATGTCGGAAGTTATCTTCTATTTTCGCATATATTGGTACGGTTTGAAAACGACGCCAGCCCAAAGAAATTATAAGTGGATCGCCAGTTTTCAAAATCTTTTTGTACCATCGATGTTTTTTTACTTTGCAGTTGACATAGCCAATATTTTCTTCGGTCATATTCAACCCACCAACCAGTACTGGGTAACTCGGATCAAAGTTTTCTATGAACTCGGCAGGTATAGCTCGAAAGCCTAAAACAATATGTAAAATTCAATTAGAAAGAACATTAATTAGGCATAAAATATATGATCCGTAGTCATAAGTCATGTTTATCCAATTTCAGAAATAAATGAGTCGTTTTATAGATAAAACGTATTTTATGTAAACTGTGACAGAGTTAGTGTTTATCTTAAAAAACTTCATGCCTGCGGATCATTAAACTAGATATTTCCCTCTTACCCAAACGAACATAAAGGCCTGGTCGAAATCCTTCAATTTGTATACGCAACTCCGGGTCTAGTGCAGCAAATTCACTTTTGTTCAATTCCGATTGCTTCTGAGCATCAGCTTTCAAACCCTCGTAATAATCATGGTCCCCTTTAATGCGTCCATCATCTTCTTTTGAACCGTCTTTATTGTCGTATTCTGCATCAAATTTAGCTTTGAGTTTTAGTTTTTTGGCCATTAGTTCTGCTTTTGTTAAATTCTCCTCCTCCACCCTAGTCATTCGGCGCTTACGAGTGTTTTCTTCGGCATTACCTTCTGCCATTACATCAGAATTAGTTTCTTTTGAATCATGCGGCTCTTCAACGCCGCTGTTCCCGATGTGTTTTTCGCCAGTTTCCAGATCTTCGAAGTCTCCATATACTTCACTTTCAGCGTCGCTCAAATCATCCAGGCGCAGCAATGTTTCAGCATCTTCGGACGCTTTCCATTTGCCAGTAACAAAGCAGTTTTTTAAAGCGGCCTTATTTTCTTCATCCAACCAGTTACGAGTACTACCCGAAAAGTCTTCATAGAAGCAGTGCTCCATTTTATCCCTTATATCTTTTTCCTTTTGCAAATCGCTCTGCTTTTTGGCCACTACTTTGAAGAGTCCCCCCAATTCTTCTTCCGAGTCAGAGTCAGCGTTTTTGTTGCCGTCGAATTTATTTTTCTAGAACAGAAATCAAATTTAATTATTGTTTTTTTTTTTTTCTTTTTTAAGTTCAATTTAATTACTTTGCTTTCGCTTTGCGTATAACATCCATATACTAGCCGCATAATATTCTTTGCCTCTGAATGTCGCTGAAGGAAGGATTCACGCGCTTTTTGAGCTAAATTTTCTTTCCAGCTCATACTGTTTGCTAGAATTTTCTCTTCTTCTTGGTCACTATCTTCATCCTTATCCTCATCCCCATCCTCATCCGCTACACTTCTCTTGTGTTTTGATTTTAACTCATCGACATGTTGATATTCCTCATCATCAGATGAGTTATTGTCGCTCTCAGCTGCTTCTCCCTCACTATCTTCGTCCCGCCAGTTACCATCTGCAAATTCACCGCCACTGTTAACGCTAACGTTGTCTTCGTCATCTACGCCAGAATCATCCTAGGGAAGAATTGTATAAAACAAAGTGATCTTCCTATGTACACCTACATATCGTCGTTTAAAGTACAAAATCGCGTATCGTTATCGCGGAGGTTATTTCATTAACCGCCTCAAAGAACGGAGGAAGGTTGTCAATTCATCCGAATATTATTTTTTTGTATGTATGTTACCGTTTTCGATTATTCTTTTTTTATCGGAAAGGTGGTATCTCACGGCTGGTCGCACAATAATTCAGCTTAGTTCCGATCATTGGATCATGAATAAATTAACGGTAATCCAAAATTTTTATATGACCATTGAAGTCGGTTGTAAAAATTACTTGTAAAAGTGTAGAAGCAAAATCAATTCAAACATTACGAAAATTCATGAAAATTCAGCGAAGTTTCATAAAAAAAATTTAAACATAATAATTGTACCATGAAAGTTATACATATATTCCATTAGATTTTAGTAAAGTGGATGTGTGAAGCTGCTAAAAAATTACGTTGATTTTTGATAATTACGTTTACTATTTAATTATTTTATTACTGAAACATGAGGTAAATGTACTTACTTCATCATCTTCAATATTATCTTCATCCTCATCTATATCACTGTCATCTTTATAGTCTTTTGACTTTATGGCAGAACCATCAGAGAACAGTCGAAATTCCTGTTCTTCAATTTGCATATCCACAGTTTGTTTTTTATCTATCAATTTGCCCACTAATTGCTCCTGCTCAGCAGCGTCTGCCGTTTTTTCTTTGTGACTGTGCGAGCCCTGTAACTCTATATACACAGCGTCCTTATCGTAGACAATTCCTCCAACCCCTGACATGGGCGCATACAATAGCCTTTCTTTTTCCAAAAGACTGCGCTTTTTCTCCGTGCCAGGCAATGGGCATGGATCAGGTATTGCACTCAATTCTTCAATCCTTGCATCCCCCAGCCCGGCAATATGAACAGAATGTTCCTGTTTCATTGGTACACCACGAACATAACCGTAAAGGATTATTTCTCTGTCACATTTGGGGTTGCGGCGAATCAGGTCTGTATTGGTGACATCTTCAACTCGATCCACGAGCAAATAACTGTGTGCTCCCCGCCATGACAGCGGGCGGAACTTCATTACTGAAATAAAGCGTCCCAGATTTTTTACCTCGTTTCTCAAGTATTCACCGTGCAACAATCCAGAAAGGTAGAAAAGCTTTGCACCATCGTAGACTTCAGTCCAGAACCGATGCTTCAATTCCTTTTTCCGTTTCCTTAATTGCTTGGGATTCTTGATCATATCTAAATGTGTGAGCACACCCATAATTTTTGGCATTCCATGTACTTGACAAATATTCAGGAATTCGAAGATCTCCATTTCAAACCCGTAACTAGCATCACACAATAACAACACTAAATCTGCGCATTTGGCAATATCAATCATTGAATTTATATCATTGTTGCATTCCAAAAGAGTTATGCGTCGTTTTTTCGAGGTAACAATCGTGATGGGACCCCGGATATCGGTCACATTTGTGCGCGTAAAATTCTTTATTAAGTTGTTGATTAACGTTGTTTTACCTACTTTTGGTGGGCCCACCACTGCTATAAGCACCGGAGGGGGTTCGTCTGGCGTCTGGTCCACAACGGGAATATGTTGCTTTTTCGCTGTTATGTCTTCTTTACGACGAAAATTTCGCTCTGCTCTCTGGACAGAATTAATAGCAAATGCCTTCGGATTCCTCTGCCTCGCAGTGAGGTTGGACTCTTTGGTGTTCCCTGAATCTTTTTTGACCTTTAGTTTTTTCTTTACGGCCTTAACGCCAGCCTGTCGAGCGCGATGCGATTTTTTCTTGTCCAATCCATCTTCCTCTGGCATATCGGTTTAAAATAAAATTATTCCTGTCGTATTAAAGAAATAAAAACCTCTCGCATATGCACGTGCAAGGCAATAGATGTAAAAATTGTTTTGATCATTTTTTAGATATTCTAGTTTTGTATCGATATAACGCAGTGTACTGTAGTCGTTATCATACTTACGAATCATCAAGGCGCATCAATTACAGGTGATAGCGATAGAAGCTATGCTTCTTCTTATGAGCACGCTTGTGTCAAATTATCGTCCGTTTTGCTTTATTTACTTATCCACTTATACATACATATATACGTATATATATACCCTGCAAACAAATTCTCCCGAAATCTTTAAGAGTGTCGGAAATCTGTTACGATTCTTTTAGAAATCTGTAAAGAAAAACATATGAAGCAGTTGACAAGAACTAGTAAAGAAATTTCTGTACCATTTCTTAAAGAAAATTCTTAAAAAATTGTGAAACCTTTCAGAATTCTATGAAATCCTGGTATGCAGGGTATACATATACATACGAATATGAATAGATAAAGAAGATGTTGATGACACAAGGAGTTCATACCAACGGTAAATGTTGTTTTTGTACGATTGCTACAACCTGTAGTTGTTGAATCATGCGAAATCATTGGCAATCATGATTATATTGTGGCGAATACTGCGGCAATACGAAGCGATCAACGAGAAAATAGCAGTATGTTCGATGAAAGACCATGATTCAACAACTACAGGTTGTAGCAATCGTACAAAAACAACATTTACCGTTGGTATGAACTCCTTGTGTCATCAACATCNTCTGAAAGGTTTCACAATTTTTTTAAGAATTTTCTTTAAGAAATCATACAGAAATTTCTTTACTAGTTCTTGTCAACCGCTTCATATGTTGTTCTTTACAGATTTCTAAAAGAATCGTAACAAATTTCCGACACTTAAAGATTTCGGGAGCATTTGTTTGCAGGGTATATATATACGTATATGTGTATGTGTACGCGGATATGTAAATAAAGCAAAACAGACGATAATTTGACACAAGCGTGCTCATAAGAAGAAGCATAGCTTCTATCGCTATCACCTGTAATTGATGCGCCTTGATGAAAGACGTAGAAACGTCAAGTAGAAGAATACTGCGAACAGCGAGAGAATTAGAGAATGTGCGATTGATGTAAATTCTATAAATATTTGATTTAGAAAAGAATTAATTAATAAAATGTGAAAAAACGGTGGTAAAAGTGCACTTGAGCGGAACCAGGCGTCCAACTTCTTTTTGCGTAGGCGGCCATCGGCCGCACTTAGCGATTATAACCCTCAGGCAGTAGGATTCGCCTTTCTGTGTTGCCAACGAATGGGGACAGAACACCTTTTGCAGAGAACAACTTTCATTTACTCCATTTATTCGCATCAAATTCATCAAAACATGGTGCGAAAGGTGCAAAGTGCAAGTGTTTTTTGCGAGTAAATCTTAAATTAATTAAAAATCTTAATTCAACAATCGCCCTCCCCCCCCCCCCCCCCCCCCCC